TCGATACTTAGATTAAACCTAATAAAGAATATGTAAGTTCATAAAAATATACCCGCCAATGATGCTGGTACCATAGAATAGATGAATGATTGGTCTCGCTTCACTCGACTAGATACCGCCGGCGTACTTGTCTAATTCGGCAACAAATACTATGCCGAAATCGGCATACCCGAGCTTTCACCGAGCCAGTCAACCTGGCAGTTGTGTATGGGGTGTACGTGGTGAATGTTTTATTAAAAGTTGGTGTTAATTGAAAGTAAAATACCAGTTTATGTAGTGAAATAACACAAAAATAAAAAAAAGGACGCTGGGATCACATAATATCAATAAGTATAGTAAAAATTAGAAATTTCAACATAAAATAACATGAACCCTAAACGTCATTTAGGTGTTGCCGCGTATACAAGAATGAAGTCCCTATGGTTGAGATTTTTATTTATACTGTGAATTTATTGTAAGAGTATTTATAACTTTTTAATTATATATGTACAGAAATAAATAATATTTATATACAAATTTCATAAACCCACTTATAAATAACATCCTATTTACAAAATAAAAAATAAGTCACCCCATCGCCGGCGCTGCCGTCAGGGATGGTGCCCAATAGGCTGGCAGCATTGCCACGTTGAATGGCAAGGCTGATCCGTATTTTTTTTTTTTAGCGTATTTTATTATTGAACCTATGTTATTTAAACTTACTATTAAACTTGCAATTAAAGTTAACCTAGTTTTATATTATTATTCAGCATTTATCTTTGTAATCTCCCTTTTGCTCTTATGATATTCTGTTATTATTTTTTAATAACATTTTTTTCAACACATTTGCTCGTAAGCTGAATCTTATTATTAACACAGTTTTTAGTTTCACAATTCAGCATATTACCTACCATACCTGTTGTGTATTTTTTTTTAATTCTTTGTATTATTTCAATTATTTTAGGGTTAAGATGAAAAATAAACAATTCATTTTATATTTATAAACACAAATTAACTTAACTAACGTATTAAGTAACATTTATTTAAACTTATAGTTTACTAGCAAACCAGTGAACCAAATATTCACCAAAACCTGATTTCTCGAAAACCGGAAGTGCTACGTTACTCAAATCCGGTTTGTAGTCTTATCAGACTATTCTTAACTTATAACTTAAATATTCTCTTTATCTATCTCTTACGGTTTGGCCGCTGAAACAGCACCACAGACGGACGGACTTGTCTAATAGATAAGAGATTCTATTTTTTATATTGCTGCTGTTCCGGCTGCACAGTCTGTCTTTAAACATACTTCAAAAAAGGATACTCTCAGTTTGATCTGTATGTATGCATGTTAAACCATGATAATCTCGAAGCTGCGGATCCGAATTGCACGGGGTTTTCGCGCATGTTAATGTGTAAATACGCATTTTCTGAGAAGGTTTTAGTATATAATTTACTAGCAATGACTCACGGTTTTACCCGTGTGGATCTAAGCTTGTACAATTTCCAATTAGTAGCGTATTCTGTGTAACGTTAAAAATGGGAATATGAAATATTTTTTAATAAAATAAAACCATCTTAAAAAGTATAGATTTACCACCTGATATACTTGAAGTCGATACCAAGGTATGTGTTTAGCAGGGAGATCATGATAATAATAACGATCGACTTCACGGTAAATCTTATTTTACATTTTCAGTATTTTTGAAATCGGTTCTATTTTTATTAAATATTATTCCTGTGCCGTTATTGAACCTGTGAGCGCATTTATTAATAATATTTGCGCAATTTTAATTCAGCCCCGCCGGAAATACTTATCGAGGCACGAAACGCGAGTGATAGGCAGTTGCCGCCAGTTGATTTATGACCATATTATAATAACATGACGACATTTATAATGTGACGTTCTGATGGATATATTGGCTGGAAGTCAAAAGTATTGTCACCAATCGATTTTGAAAAGTTTTTGAAGGTAGCTTCGTAACGACAAAATACTTGGCAATAAGCAAAGGTCAGTTGAACTTTATAACAGTTTAACCACAAGTTTGTTTTTTCGTCGCAATTGTGTTGAAAAACGTCGTATGCAGCTCGGGTGCATTGATCATTACACACTCAGCTTCCTTACCGAGTTACAATAATGTCTCGTTTAAAGTAACCAACTTATCACACTTGAATCACAGTTATAATGTACAAGTAAATATTACATGTAAATAAAATAAATTTAGGCCTAAGCATTTTTTTAAGAAACCTACGCCTAATCGTGTAAGTACATTAAAATATTGATATATTCGCATTTAATTAAGTGCATCTTTTTCAAGTATTTTATGAGCTACATTTATAACCTGGTACATATTAATTATAACCTTCAATATTTTCCCTATTACTTGGCTAGCAGTTGAGCAGCTGGCTACACGATTCATGACATTTGATAGCATTATTGCAAATTGACATACACACACTACAATTATGAGTTGCCGCATTTAAGGAGCTGTTGTTTTTTGACAGCGCGGTATCTAGTCGAGTGAAGCGAGACCAACCATTTATCTATGGCTGGTACATTGGATGAAGTCGATGTTTTGTTCTGGCAATATTTTTTCATTACAACAAGAAAGTTTTTGTAACATTTCACATGATAACCTGTATTATCATGAACTTCCTCTGGCAAAGAAATGTCATTAAATTTTAAATTATGTTGTTTTCTAATTTTTAATATTGATTGGCTTTTGTCTAAAGTACTTGTTGTAAATTTTACAGTTATGTCATCAATATCTTGTTTCAAATCACACAAACAACGTTTTCAGATTCCATTTAATCACTATTTACTTAAATATGAATAATCGTTAGCACAACTGACGTACACAAGAATAACTGCACAATTAATATTAATATTTAAATGAAATTTAAATCATTACAATACTTCACAATATAAAACAGTGAAATTCTGCGTAAGATTTTACATCGATAAATCGTTGTTACCTACGACGGTTTTTTTTTCAGGTCTAGGACCTAATTTCCAGTTAGATAAACTGTCTCAATCGCACCACCGAGTTAACATTGAGCCGCTTACTCGCACTTCCATAGCATCTTTCCCTTCACCAGCCAAGGACTTATGCTAGCCAGAACCGCCTTTCATTTTACCTGCTTACTTTAAATCGCAAATAAAATTATAATTTAACTTTATCTAGTTAAGCTAAATGCATATAATATGACACTACAGACAGACAGATTAAGTTTTTTATACTCTCCAACAATATGGGTATCAAATGAAAGGACTTTCTAAGAATATGAGGTTTTTGAAGTCCTCGATTATATCTAGCGATAACTAAAAAGTAAAAATAAATAAAAGTAAAAAACTTTTTATAAACAAACTTTTATTTAAATGCGCTAAAAAGAATAAACTACTGAGAATCAGTCAAGTGACGCTGAAGAACACATTAAAGGTAATACACATTTCATAAAAATATATGAAATTCTATATAATTCAGTGCAAGGTCAGAGATGTAATGTTATTCTTAATGTATTAAAACTTTGTTTCTTTTTAGATGATGAAATCAGGAACTATGAATCCTATTATGATGATGGAGAAAGTGATGATGATTAAGATTTATTAATTAATTTAACGACTTATAATAATAAAAAATATTTTACCCATAACTTTTATTTTCACATCATTTAATTTGCATGAATAATATACCGTAAGTTTTCATACTACGACTCTTACTCGCACTGCCGCAGCATCTTTCCCCTCGCCTGGCAAGGACTTGTGCTAGCCTGAACCGCCTGGCATTCTACCTACTTACTTTAAATCGCTTAAACAAACAATATATAAATTTCAACTTTACAGAATAAAGTTTATTTTTATGTATATATTACACATCTTCCGGTTCGCCTGGCAGGTACTTGTGCTCATCATAAACGCCTGAAAAGAATTTCAAGCCTTACAGACAGACCGTTACTCGGAGGGTTCAGTAGCTCTCCTACTATTAAGGTGTATTTCTGTATTTTATGACCATTTGACGTCTGTTGACAGCTGTCTAAAATGGCGGCATATGAAACTGATTAAACACGTCGAGATAGATCATAGACAAATCGACTAATAAGAAAAAAGCAGAGATATTCCTTATATACTTCCGGGCACATCTATTGGCCCACTTAACATTTTAAGTTTTGAGGGTCTCTCAATTTACTTGAGATTTGAGGTTATTGTGTGTCTATGATTTTTTGTCTTATTCTATTACTATTTCAAGGAAAGCGAGAATATTAATTTTAATTAAACTTTCGATAATAATTGATCTTGAGAGTGTCTTACCTGTAGTCTTCTGCTACAATTCTTAAAATTCGTTAAGCCCTATATTTTCTCGTTTGCTCTTTCATAAAATACAAAGAAATTCGCAAGAACGAAAATTCTTAAGCTCATTAGAATGGCAACTGCGATCAATTAGATAATTATGTATGTATCATTATATCATATTACACCGAAAATATAATATACAAAATCAATCTTAAACTCTCAAATCAAATCTCAGTTAACGTCTTAAATAAATATATGATCATGCAACATAAAAAGAAATATTACGAAAAGAAACTCAAAGACCGCTCAGCTATAATTTTATTGACTACATATTTTTTATATATTTTTTCCCACTAGGCAGGTAACGAAAGCCAATAGAGCTCCGTGACATTTACATTTCTTAAATGATGTTGTTTATATACATACTTTTATGAGGGTTTCATCGCATAGTTTCCAAATGGATCGTCCGACCTTTCTTAGCTAGAATATGTATTTCACGTTTCGCCTTCATCATGACCCTTGTCTGTCAACTCCATATATACAGGGATTTGTTTTTATTATAGCCCTTGAGGATCAATGCTATTATCAAATACGTGCAACGTTATTCTCTTTGGCAATTTGGCACAATAATATTCAAAAATGAAGGTTTTGTATCATTATTATAATTTTAAATAAAAGTTAAATAATTATTACACATTCGACTAAAATGTTTTTGTTTTCTTTGTTACAGATACAGCTGCGTTTCCACAAAATGAGCACAATCTTCAAATGGCAGATTCCGAAAAGGCTATCTAACAAAAGGTAATTTAGATTTCATGCGGAGCAAAAACGTAGCGGAAAACTTACCAATATTTCACGATTACATATCAAAGTGTTGTTCGTTTTTGTTACAGAAACATGGCATATGAAAAATTACATCGTCAAGGAATTATATCAATTCATATGAAGAAATATTGTGGGAATTCTCTGACTGAACACTTTGAAATAACAGAACAATTCCAGTTTAATGTTCTTGCAAACAATGCTACGTAAAATGTAGCCGAGTGAATGGTCAAAATGGGTCAAACACAAACGCACCTGGATTCCAACTATACATCGGAGAATTATTCGGACTTATATGACATGATTGATGACGTCAGCTACGATGGTTGTGCTGTAGCTGACGAACCAAAATATCCAAGCAGCTTTGGAGTGACTTTAGCCGTCCCAGAATGGGAAGCAATTTGTACAGCGATAATATTAACCCTTATAATTATTTCAACTATAGTAGGTAATATTCTTGTGATTCTTAGTGTATTCACATACAAACCACTACGAATCGTGCAAAATTTCTTTATTGTATCACTAGCTGTTGCAGATCTGACTGTTGCTATTTTAGTGTTGCCGCTTAATGTGGCGTACTCGATCTTGGGGCAATGGGTTTTTGGGATATACGTCTGCAAAATGTGGCTAACTTGCGATATAATGTGTTGTACCTCATCTATCCTGAATTTGTGCGCAATAGCTCTCGATCGCTACTGGGCCATTACGGACCCTATAAATTACGCACAAAAGAGAACACTTGAAAGGGTCTTGTTAATGATCGGCATAGTTTGGGGGCTTTCATTAATTATAAGCTCTCCTCCGCTGCTTGGATGGAATGACTGGCCTGATGTGTTCGAACCTGACACACCTTGTCGATTGACGTCTCAACCTGGCTTTGTAGTTTTTTCTTCGTCTGGCTCCTTTTATATACCATTAGTGATAATGACCGTAGTATACTTTGAAATATATTTAGCGACGAAGAAACGTCTAAGAGATCGCGCTAAAGCCACTAAAATAAGCACTATTTCGAGTGGTCAAAACCGATTTAATACAAAAGATGACCAAAACGACCAAGATTCTGTAAGCTCAGAGGCAAACCACAACGAACATCAAGGTGCCACTCGATTAGTGACTGATAACGAAAAGAAGAAAAGGACCAGAAAACTGACACCAAAGAAGAAACCCAAAAAGAAATATTGGAGCAAAGATGATAAGTCTCAAAACAAATTAATCATACCAATTCTGTCCAATGAAAACTCAGTAACTGATATTGTGGATAACGAGAATCGGAACACATCTTCTGAAAGTAATTCTAAAGACACCAACGAAGATAAACTGATAGAATCAGCGGAACCGGTGTCGACAAAACCCAAAAAGCAAGTCAGACCAAATCAACAGAACACGGTCTATCAGTTTATAGAAGAAAAACAACGGATATCTTTAACCCGTGAGCGGCGAGCTGCCAGAACTCTAGGTATCATAATGGGGGTATTTGTTGTATGTTGGCTGCCTTTTTTCGTAATTTACCTAGTAATACCATTCTGTGCGAGCTGTTGCTTATCGAATAAATTCATAAACTTTATAACCTGGCTTGGATATGTGAACTCTGCACTAAATCCTCTGATATACACTATATTTAATATGGATTTCAGAAGGGCGTTCAAAAAATTGCTCTGTATAAAACCATAATTATGTGTTGTGCCAAAGACTGTGTTAGTTTTGCGCTTCTTATAATGAAAGCCGCTGATTTGCTCAAATTAAAATTTTCATGACATTACACGTATGTAGATTAATAATCAATTAATAGTGACGATACTGTTCACTGGTAGGTTAAATTAAGTTAGTTAATGTTATGACTGTTTATAATAATGGAATTACAGTAGTGGGTAGGTGCATTTGCATGTAAATAAATCATTGATCCATTATTAATCTTGGAAACTCTGGATATTGATTAGTATTGGAATAGATTAACCTAGAAGTATAACTGTATACTAAAAGTGTACATAATTTCACGGGTTCTGTCGTGCATAGCACGGTCACTAAGAGTTTATAACATGTAAATTAGTATAATCTCATTATACCGAATTTAATATTAACTAAATATTACTTCCAACGAAAGTAATCTCATGGCGATTACGGCACTAAATTTAATCATTACCTGTACATACATATCTCTGTCCGTGTAAATAAAATTAGTAGAATGTTTGTATAAATTCAAAGAACAATACGGTCTAAATCAAAATTGTAACTATACTAATCAATGGATTTGTTTTGATTTTGCAATTAGCACTTACAATTAGAAATCTAAATGGATGATTTTATTAAGTTCCATCTCAGGGCGCTTGTTAATGAGACTATTTCTACCCGGGTCTTGGCATGGTTTTAAACCATGTCTAAGTCCGGTCTTCAGTTACGTATGGGACACTAAAGAGGTTTGTTAACGACACCGGCGCTAGCGATGATTTGGGGTCGGTACAAACCGTTTTCGTGAACGAGCTTAGCCGGTACCGGCCCAGATAGAAATCGGGTAGAAACCGCCTCGTCAACAAGTACCCTAATGTGGTTTAATTTACAAATTAATGGTATCCCTTTAAAATAATTTGAGCCCTTATTTGAAAGGGATATTGAGGTGACGATGGTTTTTATTCACTTTCCTCGATTTAAATAAAATATTTGACTGTTTGTTTTATTTGTTTCATTTCTTACTTGCCCATCTCAGCTCCGTTTAAGTCTCGGCATGTTCTCATTTATATGCAAAGAACCACAATAGCTATTTCTCATCAATCCTGATGTTCCATTTTCTACGAACGGAAGACATTAATGGTCTTTTAAATCGCCTGCCTTGATTAAGGACATACCAGGTATCGATGAGTAACATCGATTAGGCCTAAAGAAATCAATCAATCAATCATTTATTTAAATAAAGTTCTTTTGTAATTTGGGAGATAATCTGCGATACTACTAATCAGATTTCAAAAGTTCTTTGTCTCATGCGTGGTAAAGGTACTTATTTAAAAATAGCTTCAGCTCATGACAAATCAAAAAACCCATGATATACACTATAGCTGTCACATTTATATAATGAAATTATACGCCTCGCCTTCTGTACATTGAATATCTGCAGAATAATCTTCGCGTCTGGACTTCACCTTCACTTAACATCAGGTGGGGCGGAGTCATTTGTCGGAACTACCTAATATTGTTATACTTTTGTCTGTTTCTCTGTTGGTTTGTCTGTATGTTTGTTATCGTATCAAACAAAAACTGCTGAATCAAATCCAAGGAATTGAAATTATATTTATAGAATATATCTTGGTGACACTAAGCCTTTATTTCATTAAAATCGGTGTACTTTATCAAAAGTTATTACAATTTAAACCACGCAGTAGTACGGTAATGTAATTTCATACAAATTTTAGCTGTCAGCACTACACACTTAATAGATGGCGCTGAATGACATCACGCTTTGGTTTAAGTTTGGTTTTTACTAAGTAGCGTTACTAAACATGTCCAAAATTTTGTAGAGTTTGTATAAAAATATTGTTATGTATTATAGATTGTATCACTGTGGAATATTTATTCTTTATTTCATTAAAATCAGTGCACTTTACCAAAACTTATTTTTAATATGGGACTAGAGATGAGTTGAACTTGGTAAAACACGAAAGCATAAACCTATTTGTTTTAGAGGTAAACAGTAAATATAATGAGTGATGAAGGTTGAGATAATAATCATCATCAGCCTATTAATGTCCCCACTGCTGGGGCACAGGCCTTCCCTATGGATGGAATAGGGAGATTGGGCCATGAACCACCACGCAGGCCCAATGCGGATTGGTGGGTGCTAACGACTGCAGATGCAGCCGGGACCAACATCTTAACGTGCCTTCCGAAGCACGGAGGAGCTCGAGATAGTGAACTTTTGGTCACCCATCCAATGCCCGACTACTGCGAAAGTTGCTCAACTTCAATGATCGCAGCCGAACGCGCTAACCACCTGCGCCATCGAGTTCCCCAAGATAATAATGATAAAATAAAATAAAAATACACGTGTCGTGGAGGAAAGGCTCAAGTGCAATAATTGCAAAATTTATTTATCAACATCTGATAGAAAGAACTTATCAGGTAAAAAATATACGTTGACAAATTGAGAAACTCATCCCCATCATAGGCTGACGCCTATTAATATCTCCATTGCTAGATCACAGGCATTTCCTATGGATGGAATAAGCTTTGGTCATGACCCACGACGTGGCTGAATTCAACGATTGCTGAAGCGACAGGGATAATGAATTAGAAACCTGTTTGTAGAGCTCCATTTTATTTAATTTGAGTAGAAATACACTAATTGATACTGCAAAAATGATTTTCGACAGCGACAATCTGTAATGTTCCGTTATATACACATTTCTTCTCTGAATGGGATTCTCACAGTCCTTGGGTATGCCTACGAGATGTTTTGCAATATTGTATTACCCTTTGCAAGTAGGTATCGGGGTGACAGGCTGCGAGGGGCGACAAAAGCCTTATAAAGGCATCGGGTACTAACCTACATTTTGATATGATTTACTAATTCTAGGAGAGAGGGGGAAGGGGGGCTTGGACCGGGGCGAAAGATTTTAAAATACGCTCCTATTTGCAAGGCAGTATTCATTGCAGGGTTGCAGGGGTGTATCTCAGTGTTGGTTAGTTTTGCAATGGTCAAAAGCATGTAAATAGCCGCAGGAATATTTATTTATAGAAAATAAAATCAAGGAACATGTTGTTATTTTCCGATATCCACGCATACAAAGTCGCGGGCACAGCTAGTATTCAACCATATTTATTTAAGACGGCATTACAAGTAGGTACCTTATTATCCTCAAAAAGTTAGTAGCAATCCTTCCCTTCGAATCGTTATATCAATGCTTGTCCAGAGAAAACCAATTCCTATTCAAAGCTCTTTCGGAATCTATAGATTACTTTTTGAATAATTCAAATCGGATTTTGCTGTTCAACTTCAAAGAATATCATAAATTTAAAATATTGTTACGGAAAATTTTACTGTGGGAATAATCATCACTGACAATGGGGAGATTGCAACATTTCGCGTATCTCTTTTGTTTTACACACAGCGTAGCATTAGTACAGTAGTACTGTTCTGTAATGCTTACCGCAAACCTGCGTTCGAACTTTAAATAAAGCATACTCCTTCAGATGCAAATACAAATTTATCGTCTCATACAACTTCTTGCGTGTCAAATTATCGCCAGTCAAGCTATCGGCTAGCGTCTAATAGACACTCAGGCCGATAATTCATTACGACGCAAATAATTAAAATTTGGAACGCTAATTTTAGCACATTTAGTATACGATACAGCCACCCATAGCATCGCTGCGCAGGTGTGGGAGAAACACAAGAAGACACTCACTTTTCACCGCGGAATCGGCTTTGTTATTTGAAATTAGAATGCAAACAGCCCAAACCACTGGACGGATCGGGCTGAAATTTGGTATGGAGTTAGATGTTATGACGTAGACATCCGCTAAGAAAGGATTTTGATCAATTCTACCCCCAAGTGGATAAAATAGGGAATGAAATTTCGTATGAAAATTTGTCAATTTTAAACCGATCGGACTGAGACTTTGCATGCTGGTATAAGAAGAATCATAGATGAATGTCATTGCTACTTTCAAATAAATTTCAAACCACAACGGTGAATTCCGCAGTGAAAAGTGAGTTTGATCTTACGGAATAGCACTAAAAAAATCACAACATCTCTAAAAGGTAGTGTATTTTTATCTAGTCTTCCGTGAAGTAGACGCTATTTCACCAGACCGGAGCTACAGTTCGACCAAAACATCATCTTGCACTTTCCTATGATACTAAGAATTCACTTTAAAATGTTAAGAGCCTACCAGTTAACAGTACCCTGATTTGCAGCTCGAATCGAAGCGCGGTTAAGTAGAACAGTGAATTTTGTAATGTCAATTATCATCGAGTCATGCTTACTTATCACAGCTTTAACTGCTTTAATCTAAATATATAAAACCCAAAGGTGACTGACTGACATAGTGATCTATCATCGCACAGCCCAAACCACTGGACGGATCGGGCTGAAATTTGGCATGCAGGTAGATGTTATGATGTAGGCATACGCTAAGAAAGGATTTTGATCAATTCTACCCCCAAGGGGATAAAATAGGGAATGACAGTTTGTATGAAACTCTGTCAATTTTAAACCGATCAGGCTGAGACTTTGCATGCAGGTATAAGAAGACTCATAGATGAATATCTTTGTGTATAATACAAACCTGAGACAAATCTGTAGTCTACACTTCAGCTCTACACCGAAGCGAAGCTAGGGCGGGCCGCTAGTAATTAAATAAAACACTTATTTAACAGGTAAAACACCGTGTATAGGTACATTTGGACGTGTCGGTCACTTTGCAGCCGTGCTATTCTATAAGAACATACTCACTTTTCACAGCGGAATTTGCGTATAATTTGAATATTAGAATATTTTGAATACAAACTTCAAATTTAATAAAATATAAATAAATATGTACATGCTATTTTACCCGTTAAAAAGTGTTTCATTAAATGGATTCAGTAGGAGTACGTCAAAGCATAAGAAATAAATGCATTATATAATTACGGAGTAATCTCATATCTGACTGCGTTTGTGTTTTATGCTTCAATCCCTCGTTGCTTTTATATCGCATGATAAGTTGATTGATAGTGTCGTATTTGACCTGGGTAGTGCACCTAGACTCGGTAACAAAGGGTTTTAGAGCCTATGTGCACCACGTTTTTTCAACGCGCTGTCGACGCGCTTAACGAGCGTACGTACGATCGATACAAACGACAATAAACGCTCTGTAGGATAAAACGCCGCGTTGACTAGCTGTTATAGCGATAGAAACGCGTGTGTAGCGATACAGGCGGGATGTTAAAGCACGCATATATCGATACAAACGCGATTCGAATGCACGTGTGTATCCATACTAATGACAACAAACTGCTCTGTAGGAATTACGCGCTTTCTAAAAACACGCGGATCGCTTTTATCGAAGGCTCGTCTAAAAAACGTGGTGTGCATATAGACTCTTAAAATCTACGACTAGGACTCATTGCAACCCGAAATCTTAATAAGGCACACGGAACTTCTGTAAATTTTCCAGGCTTTATTTTAATCTTTAGAAGTAACTGAGTAACCAAGGCTTAAAAATGTTTAATTTCATGCTGAAAATTGCCAAGTCCAACTCGGTGAACTTTATAATTAACTTAGTGTAAGTTATTAAATTAAAGAGAATGCACAGCTTCAAATATAATAACAAGGAGACGGGACGCTCATTACTTACGAAGACAAAAGACTAAGCAATCCTGTAATAAAGGCTACCTCTGTTGATATATAACCAATCCTAAGGTTTATTACTTGTAGAAATAAAAACAAACTTAAATTACCATTGTACAGGTTACATAAAGTTCATGGAGCATTTATAGGTCAAGGTATATATTTCTATAATAACATTTCCAGTGATATTCTTGATTTGCCTCTAAATGAATTTAAAACACAAACAATATTTGAATTATAATACCGCCTGGTCGTAATTGTTACGATCAGAAATTTTTATAGTTAACTAGCTGACCCAGCGAACTTCTTACCGCCATAAAAATAGGGACTGGTGGTAGA